ACATTCTCCATTCTCAACATCTTATTATGTTCAGGTGCAATCAGATTCTTTGATGGAGTTAGAGTTCCTTCATCAGCTGTAGCTTGAGCTGTCTTCCATGGAAAGGAAGTACCAGTTACACATTCTCAGAAACTATATTAGTTCAGTGGCAAAGTTCTGGTATACGTTATCTTTTAAAGCATTAAAAAATAGTAGGACATTATGCCTAGCATATAACTGGACCTGTTTCAACATAGAAAAATTGCCAGTACTTGGTCCCTGGTACAGTAATGTCAGGAAAAAAAAAGTTTTTATTACCTAGTACTTAGCATTGCCAAAGATTGATTCAGTAGGCTCAGTGATATGGGGGCAGGGGAAGAGAGTAGCCTGAGATGATGGCCTTCTTAACACTTTACAGTAGACCAATCTCTGCCAGTTATCCAGAATCTGACTTGCTTTACTTTAATTGAAATGGAGAAAATATTTCAGCAAGAGGCTAATTTTGGCACTACATTTGGGGAAAATTTCTATGATTATGTCACTCTGTAATGGCATTGCTGCCTTATGTGCAGTGGTAACTGGCACTGCCCTGGTTACTAGCTCTTATTTGACGTTTTCCTTCCCCACCCAATGCATTCAAAACTTCAGCTTTTATTTCTTCTTTGGATCCCACATGTTTGGCATTCCAATATTGAATTAAATTTGGTATGTAGTGACTGTTACAGGTTGAATTTTGTTCCCCTAAAAAGATATGTTGAGATTCTAATCTCTGATATCTCAGAATGTGACCTTTTCTGGAAATAGGGCCTTTTGCATTTAACCAAGTTATTAACTTACTAAGTTATTAAGTTATTAGGGTGGGCCCTAATCCAATATATCCTTATAAAAAGGGGAAATTTGGATACAGGCATGCATAGAGAGAAGACAATGTGAAGAGTAAAAGGAAGAATATCATGTGAAGGAGGCAGAGACTGGATTTATGCTGCCACAAGCCAAGGAATGTTGGCAGCTACCAGAAACTGAAAGAGACAGGAAAGATCCTTCCTCTAGCACTTTCAGAGGGAGTATGGTCCTACTGACCCCTTTATTTCAGACGCTTTGCCTCCACAATGAGATAATAAATTTCTGTTCTTCCATCCAGTTTGTGGTACTTTGTTAAGGCAGCCTTAGGAAATTAATACAGTGACATAGAGTCCACACATAGCTGTGAACAAACATTTTTCTTGTTGTGTTACAGAGGCAGTTGGCAGAATACTACCTCTTATGGAATTTCTCAGATTTATGAAGCCTGTTTTACAGAAGGGTCCTCCTTCAATCCGTATTTGTTTTGGCTAAAGACTCTCCCAGCAGATTCCTGAGAGGAGGCTGCTTTTGTTGCTTCTGAAGTTTGTTTCCTTAATACTAGGAGGTGGGGCCGGGTACTGTGGCTCATGCCTGTAGTCCCAGCACTTTGGGAGGCTGAGGCAGGTGGATCACCTGAGGTCAGGAGTTCAAGACCAGGCTGACCAACATGGAGAAACCCCATCTCTACTAAAAATTTAAAAAATGAGCCAGTTGTGGTGGTGCAAGCCTGTAATCCTAGCTACTTGGGAGGCTGAGGCACGAGAATCCCTTGAACCTGGGAGGCTGAGGTTGCAGTGAGCCGAGATCATTCCGTTGCACTCCAGCTTGGGCAACAAGAGCAAAACTCTGTCAAAAAAAAAAAAAAAAAAAAAAATTAGGAGGTGGGGTGAGGAAGAATTTTGAGCCTATAAACAAATAAACATAAATTCAGAGCTATTTCCACAGTTCTCTGAGAGATTTTGACAAGCTGGTGAGGTTGTAAAGCAGGCAGTGTTGATGTGCTTCACTTAATCTAAATGAACACTCATGAACTTGTGGTTTTCTTAAAAAAAAGAAATTTAGCAGATTGAAAAATTATGGTACCTACATGCATTTGGGAGAAGGTGTAGTCCTAGTAATCCTCTATTTGATGAAGAAATCTTGTATTCAAAACATTTAGGAATCAAAGATGTCAATTATAACCCTATTGCCAGGGCAATACATTAACAAGTGAGGCAACTGCTCAGAATTATAGATTCTTTTGAAGGTGAAAGGTCAGAGGCTATAACATTAAATAGGCTGTGGTGCCAAAGTAGGACCTTTTTGTTCAGTTCATATTTCCAAGAGTATGTTTATATTAATTGATAACCGAATAACTTAGTAACAGTTGTGAATATTCACATAAATGAATAATGTACGAGAGAAAAATATCTTCATATGTGTTGCCTTCCTTGTTCTCTTTAATGATGTTTTTCCAACAAGAGTTCTTTCTTTTTTTTAAAGAAATCCCAGACAGGCATGGTGGCTCACGCGTGTAATCCCAGCACTTTGGGAGGCCGAGGCAGGCAGGTCACCTGAGGTTGGGAGTTTGAGACCAGCCTGACCAATATGAAGAAACCTCATCTCTACTAAAAATACAAAATTACCTGGGAATGGTGGTGCATTCCTGCAATCCCAGCTACTCAGGAGGCTGAGGCAGGAGAGTTGCTTGAACCCAGGGGACTGAGGTTGCAGTGAGCCGAGATCATGCCATTGCACTCCAGCCTGGGCAACAGGAACAAAACTCTGTCTTAAAAAGAAATTCCATGCTCGTGGATTGAGAAAATCAGTAACTCATTTTAAGTTCTGGGGTACATGTGCAGGATGCACAGGTTTGTTACATAGGAGAATATGTGTGTGCCATGGTAGTTTGCTGCATCTATCAACCTGTAAATATTAAACTCAACATGCATTAGCTGTTTTTCCTGATACACTGCCCCCTGCCATCCCACCAGGCTCCAGTGTGTTCCCCTCCCTGTATGCATGTGTTCTCATTGAATAAGAGTTTAAAATTTTAAGGTTGTCCAACTTACCAGTCTTCTTTTATGGTTAGAGCTTTTTATAATCTGTTTAATGGATCCCTGCTTATTGCATGGTCCTGATGTTCTAACGTATTATGTTCCAAAAACTTAATTATTTTGCTTTCACATGTCAATTTCATTCCACCTGGAAATGGTGTTTGCATATAGTATGAGATGGTTAGTATGAAGTAGTAAGGTTTTGTTGTATTTTTTATGAACATCCGGTTGAACAGTATAAATTAATTGAAAAGATTATCTTATCCTTTCCTTACTGCTTTGTGTTCTACCTTTATCATAAATCAAGTCATACGTATAGTCAGTTTCTGGATTCTCTTTTGTTCCATCTATGTTGCGATTTTATGGTTAATCCAACAATAATATAGTTTTATTAGCTTTCTTTTGGTTACTGTTTGTGTGATAGATATCTTTTCTATCTTTTTATTTCCAACTTTGTATAGCCCTTTATTTAAGGTATATCTCTTAAAAGTCTATTTTTGGACAGCATGTGGTTTTTAAAATGATTAACCTGATAATCCAACTTTTTTTCTCTTTAATTTTTGTGTTTACATGGTAGGTGTCTATAGAGTACATGAGATGTTTTGACATAAGCATGCAATGTGAAATGAGCACATCATGGAGAATGGGGGTATACATCCCTTCAAACATTGATCCTTTGAGGACGATCTGACTTTTAATTGGAGTTGTAGGGAAGACAGAACTTTGCCTCTTCCCTTTTAGAGTTAAATTGACAAAGATCAACTGGAGAAAAGCTACAGATTTCTTTAATGCAAGTTTTACATGACACAGGAGACCTCATAAGAAAATGAATACCCCAAGAAGCAGTTAGGGTTAGTCAGTTATGTAATGAATTGGACAAAGAATAGTAAGTTGTGAAATAAGATAAGGCAAAGGGGTTTCGGGCTAGGAAAGTTAATTAATTAGGTAGAGAAATGACTAGGAAGATAAGGTTGATTTGACAGTTTGGTTGTACAGATTTTGGTGATTTTAACTTCCCAACTTTGGGGAAAAAAAAAAACATATATATATATATATATGGAGGACCTCTTTCACACAGGAATTTCATTTCCTGCTTTTAGGAAACAGAATGAAGATCAGAGTGGTCTTGTACCTGCTGTTTTTTGTTGAGTGCCCTTAATTTAAAATAGTCAATATGCTAGAGCAGCATATTGCGAGGGTGACATATTCTTTCTTCTTCAGAGTATTTCATATATTTTACTTTCAATGTGTAACGTAACTTTTAATCTACCACCTTACTTTGTGTTTTCTGTTTTTCCTACTTATTCTGGGTCTCTGTCTGCCTCTCTGTCTCTCTGTTTCTCTCTCTGACTGATTAAAATGAAACATTACAGCTTCCCTTACCCACTTAGCTTAGTAGTTATGTATTCATCCACTACTTATTTAGTGTTGCTTTGAGAATGACCTTTGGTACTTTGTTCCAAAAAAGACAGGGCAGTAATTACACATATTCTACAAAATAGGGATACAGAGTTTTGAGGATGACTACAGCAATGATTTGTATTTTCTTGACCAAAATAATGTTAATTCCTTAGGTGTTCATGGCAGGGAGTATAAATGACCTTTATCTTCCCACTTGTCGGAAACACACTAGATAGGATTGTTTGAAATGATTTAATCTGCTTTTGGTCGTGTTGTCATAAGCATGGAATCTCTCCTTAGAACCTGGGGGATACTTTCTGTTAGCCATATTGTAATATATTAATTTGTGGCAGTCATTTGTATTTGAACCCCATGGTCTTTAAGGACCCACGTAACTTGGGGAAAGTGATGTCCTTACCTTGATTTTAGCATTCAACTGGAAACTGGGGGTTGGTTCTTTCCTGAACACTCTCCTGGACATATGAAATGTGTTTGGATTATCTTTTTCTCCTTTTCTTGCATATTTGATCCTGTTGATTATTCGTATATCTGCACATTCCTCCTTTCTTGAATATTAATAGCCCAAATTTCATTTAGACATTAATTCAAGAGTTATTTATGTATTTATTTATTTTTGTTCTCAGAGGTGGAACGAGTATAGCAGGGAATCATTGGAAAGGGAGATCTAGGTTTCACTGCTTTTATTAACTATCTTTGTGACCATTTGGAAGGATATTTTACATTTATTTAAGTAATCTATAAAAAGGAAGAACTTGAATAAATGATCTTCAAGCTTTTCTGTAGAAACTTTTTTGATCCTATTCAAATATGTTTTAATAAACATGTAAAAAATATTTAATGAGGAAGTTAAACAATATTTATTGCTTTTGGTATAAATAACAATGCTTATTTATGTGTGTAAGATTTTTAAACTGCTAAACACATGAAACAGATTGTGAGATACAGAAAATATATCTTTTCTTTTATAGTGTTCATTTTGTCCTGCTTTTTTTTTTTTTTTAATGAAGTCAAAATGCCAGTAAGATCAGATCTCCAGGTATGTAGCCCTAGACCAAAAGTAACTCTTTTAATTGTGAAAATCACTTTTTGTTTACTTAGAAGTATTCACTGCTATGATTTTAACAACGACAAAGCTTACACGTTTTTATAAAATGGTCAAGAATAAAGTGTTCTTTCATTTATTCAATAGATTTTTGCAAAAGCTATATTAAGAATATAAAGTATTAAAGATGTCTGTTCTTTATACCTACCTTTCACATTGAAAAGAATTGTGCACTGATTCATGCATAATTTATGCTTGGATATTTTCATATTAAGTTTTAGAGATTAAGATATTGTGTATTTAGGTAAAGTGTAAGTGTTAATAATCTGTTCATATATGCCGTTCACAGCCAAACCTGTTTAGTGATCAGGTTGTAGTGTGAAAATTTGTTATTTGTGAAGTTGTATTTCAATAGCAATGATGGCATATTTTATTTAGGTTATAAATATTAAATAAGGGTAATGCTTAATTTATGTTGGCATAATTTAAAAGGTGCTTTTGCCTGTCTTTATGCATTTTTCTTTACTATTTAAACCCTGTTAAGAGAACAGTAGTCAGATATGTTAGGCTTTTATTCATGGTATTAAGTATTAATTACTCTAAAGTTTATTTTGCTTTTTTCATTAAGTTTTTTTTGAGTTTGACATAAAGATGACTTTAGTAATAAAATATATGAATTGGGAAATATTAGTAAAAAATTTTTTCCTGTTGAGAGTCTTGTTGTCAAAGAAATGTAATTTCTAACTCAATTGTTCCAAATTTAATAGTGGCCACATTTTTAAAAATTAAGCCAATTAATATTTTATGAGCTCATTTGAGAGCTTTCATGTGAAAACAGTTCTTAAATTACTAGATTGCATAAGGTAATTAATTTTGGTTTTGATTCAGTATGTGACTCAGTATGTGCCAATTAATATATTTCTCTAGCAGTTGGAAAAATACATTGATGATGCTCTAAGAAAAAATGATTTCAGACCTTTGAAAACACTTTTACAAATTGATATTTGTGAAGATGTGAAGATTAAATGCAGCAAACAGTTTTTCCACAAAGTGGACAACCTTATTTGCAGGGTAAATATTTATTTTTGCTGAATGATTGTTACAATTATTAGATAGAACTCTAGTTTTAGGAACCAGTACTCCATCAAAAAAAAAAAAAAAATAGAAAGGCTTGGGCAAGCTCAGTTATAATTATATAAATAAATGCTTATTTTACCATTTGCTTATTTTTGTTTGAGGAATCTCAACACATCGGAATGTCATTTCCCAAATAAAAAATACAAAAATATGTGTTCACATAGGCTTTACTATTATTAACTGTTACCAAAACTGGGGAAAAAAATACTTCAGCTGTTTGAAGTTTAGACAAGTTGATAGATTTTCTTTTAAACACCTATCAGTGTATACTTGATGTTACATGGACAATGCCTACTTCTGTCAAAACTAGTATGGAAAATAGAAAAATCACCCCAAACTTTGAATTTAATTGATCATATTTAAGGCATTTTCATACACGAGGAAGGGCGGTTATTGATAATCCCCCCAGTATCTGAGATTCATTATGAATCCAAGAAATTGAATAAGAATTTCTTTTGTCTGTAAATACATGGAGCTTTTTAAAATGGAAAGTAACTGATTCATTGTATCATAATATAAAGTTTCTTGGATTTATACAGATTTCCATTTTTGTCCTGAGTTTTGTCATTCCTTGACTGTGTGGCTTTGGACAGGTTGTGTTCTTAAACCACATTTTCATCCATTGCAATATAGAGATGATTGACCATCATTCAGGATTTGTGAGGATTATCAATATGTATTTAAAGCTCCTTGTGCAATGTCTATTTCATACTGTTTTGTATTTACAGAAATGTTAATGTATACCTTTTATTTCAGGAACTTAATAAAGAGGATATGCACAATGTTTCAACCATTTTGGTTTCTGTTGGAAGATGTGGCAAAAATATCAGTGTATTGGGGCAAGCTGGACTTTTAACTATGATAAAACAAGGACTAATACAAAAGATAAGTATAGAATATGTAACATTTTCATGTGAATTAAATATGGTAAAAGGTATGTTTTCTAATAAAATAAGAAATTGTCCAAATTGTTGAAAATAAATTTAGCAACTTCATATACAATTTTGAGAATAAAATATTTCTCTAACTCTTATGTTACAAATACAAAGATCACAAGAAAACTGTACAAAGACAGACTGCTTGATAATCATGTGATTTAAGCTCCCTAAGGCCTTTATTTGCTTTATTATCTCTTTAACTTTTATTATCTAACTTCATTTTTGTTTTTATATTGTTGTCTGTCTCCTATGCTAGAATGTAGGATATTGATTTTTGTCTGTTTCATTCATTGCTACATTATTGGCACCTAGAATGTTATCTGAGATGTATGTACTCAAATATCTGAATTAAGGTAAAATAATATGAAAACATCTCATATAGTAACTATACCAAAATGGTCTAAATTGTGATGATAATTTACTTCCATGTATTATAAATAATGTACCCTAACTAGGAATTTGAAGGACGAAATGAGGATCTTCTGCATGAAATCTGGATTAACTTAATCTCTTCCCATTTTAAACAATGGGAAAATATAGTGAGTTTAAAAAAAAAAAAAAGGGAAGATCTTTAAAAGCATAAATTTATTTTGATACAATATTAAAATTTTGATTTTGAGTGTCTTTGTTCCTAGGTTTACTGTTTATACAAAGACAGATAAGTACATTCTGAAAGTTATTAAAATGGAACTCAAAGTAACTAATAAGTTCATTCCTTTTTTTACATGGCTTTCTGGTTTGAAAAATCCAAGGAGATTATTCAGAGTCAAGAAAATTCAAAAGATGAAGCTGCTCTAAATATGATAGAAGACTTAGTTGATCTTCTGCTGGTAAAAATCACATTGATTACCCTGATGTTTATAAAGCATGTGTTTATTTAAAAAACAATTTGTGTTCTCTGTGCCCTGAGCCTAAAAGTCACTAACAGATTGGTTGGTGACTTGATTGGATTGGTTGTTAAGATTGTATAAAACATTTATTCTGGTAAATATAACTAAATGATTCGTTAATAAAAAGTAATTTTGCTATGAGTTAAAATGCAATCTGTCATTTCAGTACCATTTGTAATGGTTTATAATATAGACAGTAACTTGTAAATTAAATATTATTCACTTTTTTTCAGGTCATACATGACGTCAGTGATGAAGGTATAATATTTATAACTATTTTCTATTGGAGCAATAAATTACTGTTAGAGTTTTAGTATAATTTCACAATTCCCATAGTATTGTCTTAGTATTAGAAACTCATTGTCTGATTCAAGGATCAACAAACTTCTTCTGTAAAGGGCCAGATAGTAAATATTTTAGACTTTGTAGTCCAAGAGACAAACAATTAAGAATATTATGTAGGTACTCGTATAACTAGAAAAACAAATTTTTATAAATAGTTTGTTTATGCTATTGAATAATATAACATTAAAAATGGCTGTACAATTTTTTTGTAATATAGGTCTAATAATGAACTTTGCATTCTTTTTGTGAGAGAATAACATTACACTTAATTAGGGTTCAGAGTTAGTATTCTGTTTTCCAAATTGATTGTAAACATTCATTTGTTAATGCCTATCTATAATGAGGTTTTATGTATGTCACATTAGAAAATGACTTTTCATGCAGACAGTGCCAAATACTGATATCAGTCCATAAGCATGCTTTTAATTGAGCATGTTCATCACTTGAAAGGCATTAATAGAATTGTTAGGTTCTTAACATTTGCATTTTAGAATGTCATTACATTGCATATTAATCACTTGCAATTGAAGGTTATGTGGAAGCTTTCCAACTGCACAATTAAATGGATTTTGAAATGTGGAAATTTCCTTTGTACTTACAACAAAGTTTAAAAATACTGCTAGACCTGTAGTTGGAGTTTGGAAAAAATATATTCCCTGAAAATTTGTGTGGAAATGGAGATGTTGCTTCCTGTTTTAACTTTTGACAGTCTGAGAAGTTATAAAGCAGCATAGCATTACTTGCCATTCAAATCACCATAGTTATCAGAATGACTTCACTAGAGTGTAAGTTCATGATCTAAGCATTATTTTGTAATTTTGGGCCCAATCCATTTAGAAACATTGTCAACTCTGCAACCAGTGCTAATTACCAAAGCCATTGAGTATGCAATAATAAGGGTTGATAACGATTCTTGTTCAGAAAAAGTTCAGTCTTGGTGCTGGATGTCAAAAAGTCACAATAAAACCCCACTGCCATTGGACTGCTGTGTGTTAGGGAAAGTCAGAATACTCAGCTTCTGCTTCTGACAAAAATTCAAATAACTAACCATAGCTAAATTGACAAGAGTGAATGATGTTCACCTTTGACACTACTGGTTTAATAAAACACGATAGATTCAAATAATTTTCACAAAGCACTTGCTGTTGAGTGATACAGTCATGCAAAAACAAGCAATGTGAGTTGCATTTAGTTTGTGGGCCATAGTTTGTCAACACTTGATCTAATGGAACAAATTTTCAGTAGTAAACTATTGAAAATACAGAATATGTTACTCCTCATCCTTTCACTTGTGGCCTGCAACTGTCTTGTGCCAAGCAATCAGATCCAAGTTATTTTAGCTCTGTGTTGATTGAAGAAGTCTTACCTAGGACTGGTCACCGAGGCTGGTGAATTATTTATAAAGGTACTTGCTGCCTTTAAGAGTTTTAAACAGATTGCCATTGATTTAAACAATAATTAATTCCACTTCTTCATTGACTGTTTTTGCTACGTAACAATGTAGTCTAAATTTTTATGTTTTTAGGGAGAAAGCAATTTAAAGCACCAGCAATTGTAAAGTGATCCACCTGATTTTTAAAGTAAATAATTGTATCTTTTCATCTGAGTACTTTTGTTCTATCTATGTAGTCACTTTGGAAAATTGTACATTAACCTAAAAAATTGTATGTTACCCTAAAAGTGGCTCATATCATTTAGAATTTCATTAAGGTTAAGATACATTGGTCTTTATGGGTATAAAAATTTTGATGTATAACTAAAATTTTTTGATGTATAACTAAAAATGAGGTCAGTTTTAGAAAAAGCCTCAACATTGAAGTTTCCACTTTTGAACTATATTTACTTAATCTAAAAAAAAAAAAAAAAAAAAAAACTAAATCTACTAGATCGGCTGGACAACATACAAAAAAAATTTTTTCAAAGCTTGCAATAAGGCAAAAAAAAAAAAAAAAAAAAAAGTTGCTTATGTGACTGCAGTTAGAAGCTAGATCTAGACTTACTCCCTTGACAGTATTAAAATCAGTCCTATCTGTTGAGTGGAAGTTTTTACAAGGCCACATAGCTAGTTTAGTGATAGAATTAGGGACTTAGTTTCATTCTTTCTCGTCCCCAAGCCCTGGCGAACTGCCTTCTGAACTACAGTAGTATATCCTTTGCACTAACTACTTTTATTTTTTGATAGAGTCTCCTGTCACCCAGGCTGGAGTAGAGTGGCACAATCATGGCTCATAGAAGCCTTGACATCCTGGGCTCAGATGATTCTCCCACCTTAACCTCCCAAGTAGCTGGGACTACAGGTGCCTGCCACCAGGCTTGGCTAATTTTTGCAGAGACAGGATTTTGCCATGTTGCCCAGGCTGGTCTCAAACTCCTAGGCTCAAGTAATCTGCCCACCTGGGCCTTGCAAAGTGCTAGGATTATAGGCCTGAGTTACCATGCCTGGCTCCTTTCCGCTAACTCTTATAAGAAAAGACTGATGGTTACTAGAATTTGAAATGAACATTTATCAATAATTTAACACTTTTATTCAGGTAAAAAACAAGTAGTGGAAAGTTTCGTACCTCGCATTTGTTCCCTGGTTATTGACTCAAGAGTGAATATTTGTATTCAGCAAGAGGTAAAGTCATTTGTTTGATTCTGTTTTAAAAACTAAAAATGAGAAAGTGAAGAAAATCAATAACAATTAAATTGAAAAATTATTTTATCTAGGGCTAAATTACTTACCTTGGAGTTTATTTCTATCATCTTAATGATCTATTATTGCCTGATATATTTCTTAAATAGTTATGGAAAATTTATAACCATATTGGTTTATATATACATATAGCTCAAATGAAAATTATACCATCCAAATTTTCCGGGTCCTTATGTATTTAGATGCTGAAAATAATCTGTGTTAGTATATGCATGTGTGTACATGTACTATAATCATAAGAACAAAATAAGGTAATACTTTTTGGCTTTCTTAGAAATTATAATGGAGTTATAATAAATTTAAGTTGCATTGTAAAAAGTATAAATGCTTTAAGTACAGGAGTCATGTTATATCTGATTTTTGATATTCCATAGTTTATGTTTTTATATTCATTATTTTATACTTTATTTTTGTATTTTTTGAGACAGTCTTGCTCTCTGCCCAGGCTGGAGTGCAGGGGCGCGATCTCAGCTTACAGCAACCTCTGCCTTGCGGGTTTAAGTGCTTCTCCTGCCTCAGCCTCCCAAGTAGCTGGGATTACAGGTGCACCCCACCATGACCGGCTAAGTTTTGTATTTTTAGTAGAGACGAGGTTTCATTATGTTGGCCAGGCTGGTCTTGAACTCCTGACCTCAAGTGATCCGCCCACCTCGGCCTCCCAAAGTGTTGGGGTTACAGGTGTGAGTCACCATGCCTAGCCTATTTTATACGTTACATATTCTTTCCTCCATCCTACTCCATTCCCATAATAAAATTTAGTGATTAAGCGAAAATTAGGCTTCTAAGTTTATGTTCCTCGAATATTTTGCTAAATAGTATTTCACTGAATATAAAGTTAATGCATTATCTTTTTTTCTTTTCTAGATAATAAAAAAAATGAATGCTATGCTTGACAAAATGCCTCAAGATGCCCGGAAAATACTTTCTAACCAAGAAATGTTAATTCTCATGTAATAATTTATACTATATTGTTTCTATTCTTAAAATCAAGAATTTAAGAATGTTTTATAAGACAATCATGAGTTTGCATTAATAATGAAACTGATAAACTTGTAGCTTTTTAATATAATTTAGTATATGTATATAATTTCTGCAAAAGTTGGTGATATTAGCCACTTATAAATTTTAGTGAAGTTTCTTTTTCTCATGGACTTCCTATTGATTCTGGTCCAGTTTATAATCTGTTGTTTTAATTCACAGGGGTAGTATGGGAGAGAGGATTTTAGATGCTGGAGGTAAGTCAGTCTTTTCAAATCTAAAATTATTCCATATTTATGAAGAGTAGGTAGTATTTTTTAAATTAAAATATTAGCATAGTAATGTGAGACTGAGGGAATTATAAACTTTAGGTACAATCAAGCAATTTTTAATAAGTAAAAATGAAAATTGTCTTTGGTACAAAAATAATTGACAGTAGGTGTTAGATACATAGAATTTGTGCCTAATGGTAGACTTATGAATAATAGAGTAGCTTAATTTTTCAATAGATCTGAACTAATTGTGCTAAAAAATTCCTCAGATAGTATTTTATGAAATTAGGGTGTCTGATATACTTGGTATTGATGAATTTGTTTTTAAACAATTTGTTTATTAAAATAACTTAAAATTTATTTTCTAAGCTTTTTGTGAATGCATTTTATTATGATGATTTACACGTAGAATAAATCATCGTTTAAAGTACTCTGGGATAACTATAATCATGGTTACACAAAAGGAAAGCAGATTTTATGACTTATAGACAACTGTATGGGGTTACTTTGCATTTTATCTCTCTAATAATGAAATGGCAGTGTCTTTGAATATTTAGAAGTCTCTTAAAATTTTAAAAAATTTTCCTTATTTCTTCTGTTAACATGCTTGTTATTTGAGCTGTGTTAATTCCTCAAATGATGAGATACTTCTAATCCTTATGAAGAAAATATTAATACATTAATAAATTACACTAATATATTCTCATTTCTCTTGCTTATTCTAATACCTTGTAAAATATGTGGTCTTTTATAAACTTAATTTTCATAATTGTAAATCAAACATTAACTCTTTTTTTAAATAGATTATGACTTACAGGTAGGCATTGTAGAAGCTTTATGTAGAATGACCACAGAAAAACAAAGACAAGAACTGGCACATCATTGGTTTTCAATGGATTTTATTGCTAATGCATTTAAAAGAATTAAGGACTCTGAATTTGAAACAGTAAGTTGTATAAAAATAACAGAAATTTGTGAATTTTTAAAAATTATTATGATTTTTAAAAGTCTTTCTCTTTAAAATTAGGATTGCAGGATATTTCTCAACCTTGTAAATGGCATACTTGGAGACAAAAGAAGGTAAATTTAATGGAAGATACAATCATTTACTGATAAAGAAATAGAGCTCAAGAGTGAGCACCCAATGTTGAATCTTTATAAATTTTACTGTATTTGTCCTGTTATGTTGGAGTGTAAAATGTGTGTAGATATTTAATTTAAAACAATAACATGATTTTAGCAAATTACTACACTGGTAATCTGAAATAATTCTGCACTGGCCTTGTTTTATTTTGTACTTTTCAGAGGGAAAAGTTCATTTCTGCTTAATTCATATTAATTAATAATTTTGGATGTTCAAAATTGGCTTACTATATTTCTGAGTTGCATATCCATTATTAATGTTTGAGGGATAACATAAATTGTCTCCTTCATCCACATACTGGAATGTAAATACATAGCAAACAAATCATCTTCCTTTATAATTAACATACTTTAGGTCTTTCTGAGGGGCATGAAAGGATATGTAATGTAAATTTTAATTATTTTTTTTTATAATGACAGAAAAACAGAGTATTTGCAATGCCTGGCACCTTATAGATGTTCAACACACATTTATTTGATGAATGAGTTAACATTTACTTTACTTACTAAAGAAATTACAGCTATTGTAAGGGTGGTGAAAGGAGTCTTATTACCTGGATTTGAATCATAAGTTTCTCTCTTGCTGTTCTAATATTGGGCAAACTATTTAATCTTATAAGCCTCAGTTTCCTTACCTGTTATATAGTACTAATAACTACCTCATGTGTTTGTTGTATAGATTAAATGAGATAATATGCTAAGTATTTAAAATAGTACCTAAGAAAGCATTCTGTGAATTTAACCATTTTTAAGAGAGTTATTCATTTATATTCTTATCTCATTTAAGTTTTATGGAAACATCTGTTATAAGCTAAATTAGGAAACTCTGGTCATATTTGATAGCACACTGTATTAATCCATTTTCATGCTGCTGATAAAGACATTCCAGAGACTGGGCAATTTACGAAAGAAAGAAATTTAATTGGATTTATAGTTCCATGTGGCTGGGGAATCCCGACAATCATGGTGGAGGCAAGGAGGAGCAAATCCCATCTTACATGGATAGCAGCAGGCAAAGAGAGAATGAGGAAGATGCTAAAGTGGAAACCCCTGATAAAACCATCAGATCTCATGAGACTTATTCACTACCACGAGAACAGTATGGGATAAACTGCCCTCATGATTCAGCTACCTCCCACCAGTTTCCTCCTACGACATATGGGAATTATGACAGTACTATTCAATATGAGATTTGGGTGGGGACACAGAGCCAAACCGCATCACATACAAAAACATTTGGTGCAATCATTTTAATCAAAATGGTAGATTGAGTAGCATCCTCAAAGTAATACGATTTTCTCTGCGTAAATGTCCATTAAATGTGTATTTTGAAAAGTATTAAAGAGGGAAATAAGATTTGGCATGATTTCTATTGATGGACAAGATTAGGCTGTGAAAGCTTATTTATTTTTTTCTTAAACTACTTTTTATTTCAGGGTTTTTACATTTCCTTGTTTGTCAGCATTTCTTGATAAATATGAGGTAAATTTTTAATTTAACATGTTATTTTAGCTAGTGCATGAATTTTGATAGAGTCAAGTGAATTGTCAGTTAAAAATTAGTAAGAAAATTAAAAATAGTTGTAATTAGATCATGAATATAGCTGGTCTAGTATTCTGTATCTGGCAGTGACACCAGGAGAAATTTTACGGAACAGCATGTTCATTGCCAAGAATAACTGAAAAATAAAGGCTGTAGTCCAAATTTTCTCCTGTTTCCTTAAGACCATTATTGATTTATCATGTATGAATCTATTCAAACTAGTACTTTCAACTTTTATTAGCATTTGGAATATTCATGATTTCTTGGAACTAATCGATTTTTTTTTGTAAAATGTTAAAGTAGCATTTCATTTGATTGTTTTAAAATTTATTTAAATGTTATACTTGTCTGTTCTCTCTCCTTCTACTTTGTTTTCTTGATGTAGCCATTAATATAACATCATAATTTTCTGTTATTTCTAAAATCATTGTATATGCCAGTTTTATATGTTTATTTTATTAGCTGCAAATACCATCAGATGAAAAACTTGAGGAATTTTGGATTGATTTTAATCTTGGGAGTCAGACTGTCTCATTCTACATTGCTGGAGATAATGACGTAAGTTTTATTCCCTTGGTATTATTCTATATGTATATGTAAGATTTCTACTCACTGTAAGAATGTGGATTTCTTTATATATTTACTTTTCTAGCCAGTCTTTACATAGATTTTAACATTAGCTCTAGTATTTTGATTAGCATAGCAACCTACTATGCTAATTGTAAATGAAAATGGTTTCTGATGTTTTATTGTAACAGAAAAAATAATGCTAAATTTCAATACTAATTTTTTAACATGAGCATTTCAAAAATAAATTACATGTTAATTTATGACAGATAAAATTTTATATTCATATAAACAAAGTGAATTGGCTTTTAAAAAAGAACAGTTACTCAAATACAGATGAATTCTATTAAAAGTTTTGTTAACAAACAGGGACAAGTGGTCTTAATCATTCATAAAATCTTCTGTTTGGAAATAGGACTTGATTGGAAGTTAATTTTAGTTCTTTTCTTACTATGCTTTATCATAGCTATGTTTAAGTCTTCCAAATAGGTGGCATATTTTCTGCTGACCTACATATTTTTTACCTGAGGAAAATCCTTGAGCCGTTATTTCATGATAGATACCACCTCATATTTGATACATTTGCATACATTTAGCTCAAATTATGTAGTCCATTTGCCAGAATCTGAATAAGAGTTGATCAGCATTTACTAACCTGGTTGCAGCTGGTGATATTATAATAAGGCTTTAGTCTTTTTAGTCTGTTTCTTCTAGAATCCCACTATTTGTCCCAAGTAAACTTTATAGGTGAACATTAACCAAATGCCTTTTAGGATTTACACGTCTTTATTGCTTTTTGTTCTAGAGTACCCTCTTTGAATGCTTAAAATTGAGTTCCAGTGATTAGCACAGCTTCTCAGGGGCACTGACAGTTTCCATTAGCGTATTTCTCCTACAGAATTTGTAGGAATA